ACAGATAAATGCAACGGAAAGAACAAGCAGTCAAAAAATAATAATGAACAAATAATATGACACAAGGAAAATAATCAATTATAAAGCAAATAAATAATCACATAATTTCCATTAGCTCCCCGTGGGGTTCGAGATCAGTATTCCTTGGCCTTTTCTCGCTCATCATTGGCTTCTTTCCTTCATTCCCCTCCGTCCGTTGGTTTGTCCTTACTGCAATCTGATAGCAGGTTCTCGACAGCCTTTGGTCACCTCGGGCCTCTCCTACCTTATCTCCGACAGGGAATTCTAGCTTCATATGATAGGTTGACACTATCGCTTGGAATGCGTTGAGTGCCGGCCTTCCCAGAATCACATTATAAGCCGACTCGACGTCGACCACAACAAATCGTACCATTTTTACCTTCCTTAAGTCGCCTTCCCCGAGGACAACAGCGAGAGTAGTTTCCCTCAGGGGGGCGACTTCTGAGCCATTAAATCCAAAAAGTGAAGTGTGAAGAGGTGAGAGTTCAATGTCGAGTTCCATGCGTTTAAGGCAATCGAAAAAGATCACATTCACCGAGCTTCCTGTGTCGACAAAGATTCTCTGAACTTCGTAGCCCGATATCTGGGCTGTGATCATCAAGGCATCGTTATGAGGTCTCTCAACTGCTCCCACGTCTGCTGGTCCGAAATTCATCACTGGACCCTCTTCTTCGACCTGCTGCACTTCAGTCTTTCCGTGATGCCCTCGAGCGTATGCTTTCCTAGCCCGGTTTGAATCACCATCGGTTGGCCCTCCAAATATCATATGAATTACTCCTCTTTTTTTGGGGAAGCTCCTCCTTATCGGGTGTTCTCGCCCTTTTCTGAGGGCTTTTGCTCCTCTCCCTTCGTCGACTGGGCCGTTCTCGATCTTTATAAACAAACTCCTTCAGATGGCCTGCTTTGATTAGTCTCTCAATTTCATTTTTTAAGTGCCGACATTCATCGGTGTTATGGACGTAGTCTTTGTGAAATCGACAATACAGGTTACTTTTAGGCTTTGTCGGCCCGTCTTTTCTCGTTTGTGGCCACCTAACGACGTTGTCACGGATCTCTCTTTCCATCACCTCCAGTATCCTTGCACGCGAGGCCGACAAGGGAGTATATTGGGCTGTCCTCCACCCCCTTGGTCGCCCCTCCCTCTCGGCTCTTGGGGATCCTTTCCTTTCAGTCGTCGCGACAAGCTTTTTGTCCTTCTTCTCGTCCCGAGGCTCAGTTTTCTGCTTAGCCGCTTGCAAAAAGTCGGCTTCGGCTTCCTCGACATTCATGTACTTGGCGCACCTTCCCAATTCTTCATCGAACGTCCTCCCGGGCCGCTTCGCTAGGGAATTTCTGCACAGTCCCGGGAGTAGCCCTCGAGTGAGTCCTCATGACTTGATCTCCTCAGTGGCCGAGGGGACGTCGACACATGCCCTTGTGTACCTCGCCACGTAGTCCCTCAATGATTCCCCTTCCTTCTGCTGCATACCTATCAGAGTAAGGTAAGACTTTTCTTGGGCTTTCACACTTGCGAATTGGTTTAGGAAACTCGAGCAAAATCCATCGAAATCCCTGACGGCCCCCGAGGGCAATTGGTGAAATCAATCCTGCGCGGGCCCCCGCAGGGTCGTCAGGAATGCTCGGCACTGAACGGGGTCGTTGTATCGGTGTAGTACTGCCATGTTTTCGAAGCTTCTAAGATGTCGGGAGAGATTAGTCGACCCATCATACCAGATATTAAGCTCCCTGAAGCCTTGAGGCAAGTCGGCATCTAGAATATGTTGTGAAAAAGGGTGTCCCCTTGAGCTTCCCGTCTTCCTTCCTTCGACCCGGGTCTGCAAGTCTCGGACCTGCGCTAACAGCTGTTCCAGTGTGTCGTTTCTGGCTTGCGGATTGACGGTTCTGACAGAGGACTCCTCCTCGTCTATCCTCTTGTTTTGCCTTTCATGCGATTGTGCCTGTTGTTCGCGCTCAGGGGGTTGTTGCTCATTTTGGGGTTGTTCGACTCTCGCTTGTTCGATCCTGGGCCGCTCGACCCTTGGTTGTTCGACTGGTGTTCGTTTGAGTTGGGCTGCCACTGCCTCCACGATCATTCTCTGCATCTCGCTTCTCGTCATGGTCAGCGTTTGTTCCTCGCCTTGGGGCGGTGGCCTTGTCTCCTGGTCGAGTTGTTCAGGCTGCCTCCCCATCCTTAGAGAGATTTCGGTTGATGCGTGATCACCTGTCTCTCCGCTTGTGTCCCTCACGTGGCTGGCCTCCCCCTGAGTGAGAACCGGGATCTTGACTCCGGGTGGGGTAATAGGCGTCTCTTCTCCCATACGCCCTCCTGACGGCGCGTGTGCCCCAAAAGGTGGGAATCCCAGCACCTGGAGCGGTGGTCTAAAGCTGGGAATCGGCGGAGGTCGCTTGTCCGTCCATGTTGCCCTGAAGTCCTCATTCAAGTTTTTCTGCACTCCTTCCTTCTCAGCCATCTGAAACAGATCCAAGCTAGGTGTAAAGCTCTTAATTCCTTCAAGAACTCCCCACAGACGGCGCCAAAATGATGGGTCTCTTCTCAGATCTGGAACGATCCAATGGGAAAACATCCGGATCTAGGACGAACCGGTGTGAATGAGCTTAGATCTGATGTGATGGCGCTCGAACCGTTGTTGAACCGCAAGAACACCTGCAAGAACTCAACGCCGGAGGGGTTTCCGGCGTAGAGCCTCCGACGCCCAAGTCAGTATATGAGAGGGATGATGAGAGCTGCTATCAGAGCAGCAGCAGTAATGAAAAGGGTATGGAATGAATGGGAGTTAGGGTTTTGGGATTACCTCAGTCCTTTATATAGGAGTACAATATATACCTGAAGTCCCCAAAGTGCCCCGACCGACTTAATGGAAATGTCCAGAATACCCCGGTCGGTTCGTATTCCGTCTACTTCCTAGTCAGCATCTAGATCCTTCCTTAGCTTCCTTCTTATCCTTAACTCTTCTTCAATATGCTGAGGTGTGTCAAAGCTATCGGGAACCATGAACTGCAAGACTCCCTCAGTCGACCTGAGATATTGAGTCGAGTCGACTGGGTCGCATTCAACTGTTAGTAGACCCTAACACGTCTGACCGTTGTCTTACCAGAGGTCGACTTATTCTAGTCGACAGGTGTACGTCGACTCGGTCGAGAACCGGGCTTCTTGACTGAGTATCGTGGAACCTTACTAGTAGAGTCGACTTTGTCGAAGTCGACTTGGTAGTCTCGAACCGTGATGATATGAACCACTATGAGCCAATTGTGGCAATGCCACGGTTACTGAACCGATACACGACAGTATGGCTATATCAAACTATCTATTCCCCATTTCGAATTTTAGTCACAAGAAATTCATCTTCAAAAATGGCTTCCTACTTTGATAATCTCACATACCTTGCCAAAAACAAAACCAAAACAGCAATTTTGAGATTGGTTAGGTTTTATCCAAAAAAAAAAGAGAGTCGAGCCTTGAATTTGTATTTCATGATATCAAGGTAGACATTGTATTAGTTAGTTATCAATTAATTATTTGACATTATGTATTTTACTTATTGTTTTGTACACCAATACATGATTTTTATATTTATTTTTCAGGGCGAGCGAATCCATGCCTCCGCAACTGACATCTTAGTTGAAAATTTCAGCCCGTTGATCAATGGTGAAGGGAACACATTTGGGATAAGAAATTTCATATTGGAAACCGATCACAACATTTTCAAAACTACCACAAAAAATGAGCAGCTTTTGTTCAATGAGGAAACAGAAATTAAGGAGATTTTTGATGATGACTACCCAAAGTTCATGTTCAATTTCAAGGACTTTGGAGATCTGTCGGATCCATCTCAAATTGACTCCTCACGGCTAATTGGTAACATTAATACAGTTTTTTATTTTTTATCAAGAGATTTCTAAAACAAAACTATTTCTAATTGTACTTTTATATTGATTCTAGATATCATTGGTCGAGTGGTGTTCTTTCAAAGCGTTCAAAAAGCTATGTCAAGAGGGGTAGAAAAGAGATTTATTGATATTCTCCTCGAAGATGTTCGGTAAGTGTAAATTACCAATTATTAATATTAATCCTCACACTCTGAATATTATAAAATCATTATGTAATATTTCTATTTTGTTATTTTATTAGCGGTTTCCAATTACTTTGCACATTATGGGAGGACTATGTGGATGTTTTACTTGAGGCAATGAAGAACTCCACTGCAGGAGAGGAAAAAGTTATAATACTTCAAATGTGCCGAGCGAAATCCATACATGACGGTACATATTTTTAAATTAACTAAAATACGATATAAATTATTTTTTACATTTTAACTTAATTTTATTGAATAATTTTATAGGGTCTGTGAGAATTGCCAATGCCTACGATGCAACCAAAATGATTGCGAAATTTGATGTGCCAGAAATTATTGAGTTCAAAGAGAGGTTATTGTTCAAAACATTGTTATATATATATTGTTTAGTACACATGTATGTATTTTGTCTCATTATTTTTTTTTTATTTTTGATTACTTAGGTACAAGACCCACAAACGCACAAATAAAGGACCTAGCCAATATGTTAGATCTTTCATGTCGAGCGTATGCGATGACTTGCAATCGGGATCGGCGCCAATTGGAACTATTGAAAAATTTCATGCCCTGAATGAGGCAATTGTCATCAAAAGATTGACTTTTTATTAAATACAACCATTAATAATTTTTGCCTTTGTTCATATTTGTTATAATTTTAATTTTTTCAGCCGAATATGTCTTGGATCTATGGGACGATCCTCGACATTGATCTGAGGTGGTATTTTAACGCATGCCCGACCTGCGTTAGGAAGGTCGAACCGCATGGGACGAAGTTATGGTGCAACCATTGCAAAGAGGAAGTACCATTTGCAAATGCTCAGTATACATTAATTATTTAAGAATATTATTACATATTATTATACTAGATTTTTTTTTTGAAAATTTAATTAATTTTCAAAATTAAAGGTACAAATTGCACATGTTCATCGTTGACGACACGAGAATTATGCAAGTTCTTTGCTGGGACAAAGTAGCAAATGAACTGATTGGAAAAACATGTGAAGAAGTTGTTCAAAATATGATAAAGGTTTGAATAATAATATACTATAAATAAATAAATATTATTATATAACTAAAAAGATGATTAATATTTAATATTATTTCAGTATGAAGATGGGTCAGATTTGCCAATTGAACTTTCGACTTTGATGGACAAAGCCCTTTTGTTCAAAGTTGGAAAGAAAAAAGATCAATTTAGGCCTTACAATGGAGCATTCACTGTTTCTAGAATTACAGCTGATCCAATACTGGTGCACAGATTTGGTGTTTTAGAAACTGTTCCACAAGTAAGTACTAATTTATTAAATTTATTTTTTTTATTAATTATCAAAATATATATTTTTTTTAATTAATTATCAAAATATAATTAATTTTACTTATTCAACAGGTTTGTGATTTTGAGCAAGGTGCACTAAACAACCCACAAACCCCAAGAGCTGAACCTGTGAATGATCTATATAATAGAGAAACAAAGAGAAAGGTGTCCGACGAAGGATTAAGCTGTGAAGCTGACAGCAAAGGAAAGAAGAAAATAAAGACTGAAGAAATTTAAAAGCTGATTCTAAGGATGACTTCTGTTGGCTATTTATGAAATGTTACTGCTGCTATTTAGAAATTATGGAATCTGTTGCTATTATGAGTTTTAGACTGCCTTTAAGGCTGAATAAAATTTTAGTTTTAATTATGATTTAAGTTTGTTCTATTCAAATGGTTTATATTAGAAAACTAATTCCTTATGTTGTGTTAAAACTAATTTCTAATCAGCCAGAAAAGAAAAATGAGCATTTCAATCATTCCAATCATGCATTTCCTTGAACAACCAATAAGAAATGAAGCATACAACTAATTTCCACAACAATTCAGAAACATTCAATCAAAAAAATGCATTATACTTTTGATGCAGTATAATAGAAAGAAAAAATCTTGGCATCAACAAGGCAAACAAGTTCCAGTTCAGCGGAAAAAAAAGAAAAACAAAGGAGGAAAGGTAAAAACAAAAGCCAAAAAAAAAAGTTACAATGACAAGCACAATTCAGACAGATAGAGAAAAAAGATATACTCAGTAAAAATAAAGCTTACACACAGTTCAAATAAAAACATAGACCAAATTGAAAAAACATATACTCAGTCCATGGAAAAGTATATAATACGTCAAAAGAAAAACATAGACCAGTTTCAGAAAATTACTCTAGATTGTCACTTCAGTATTAACATACTAAGTTTTTGTCATTTACCAACTTCATTAATTCTCAATTAAAATTATCTAAACTAAACATTCAATCACATAAAACTATTTGTTTTTATCATACTCAGTTATAACATAATCAATCATTCAGTCATTCAATCATATACCAACAGCATCACATAAAAATCTTTGGTTTTATCACTCAGTTTTAACATAATCATTCAATCATTCAAAATAAATTTACAGTCAGTATTAACACAATGTTTTTCATAGGACCGAAACTCTTCATAGAACATTCATAAAATCATACAGTAAATCAAAATTGATCAATTTAAGTTAAAAATCTGCAAATGCATTAAACATTTTTTTTAAGTCATTAAATCTATATAATTAACAAAATAGAAAATAATGGCATTAATAACACAAAATCAATCCATTACATACATTGAAGTCAAAATCTGCTAATGCATTAAATTGATTTTCATTTAAGTCATTAAATCTATATAATTAGCAAAATGGCAAATAACTAATGGCAATAATAACACAAAATCAATTTGGCATAATTCATGCTATAAAACTGATCATTTGTTGACTAACATTAACTAAAACAACTAATCCGGCTGCAGAATATGTTCATTAGGAAAAATATATCATACCAATCAGCATCTATTACATTAATAACTCATAAAAATTCATTTTATCCAGTTTAATTTTTCTATATAAACCCCTTAATGAATAATTCATTCTAAGTTCCCCTAAACATACATCCTATTGTCTTTCACTTTAGTCCAATCTTTCTATCAATCTGTTCTATGCCATTATACCACCAGATACAGTTTTTTTAATCACATGAGATGTGTTCAGCTTCCCTAAACATACATCCTATTCAGTTTTTTAAACCAATCTTTCTATCAATCTGTTTTACAGCACAGTCAGAATAATCACATGAAATATATTCAGTTTCCCTAAACATACATCATATTCAGTTTTTTAATCCCAAAATCACAATATCATGAAGAGGTTGACAGACTACAACATCATTGGAAACAAATGTCAGAAAGAAGATGTTTCTCCACAATTTGGTACACAATGACATTTGTGTCCTATGTTTATTATGAAATATATCCAAAAGATTACCTTCTTTTGCTCTTACCTTGTATTGAAAATGTAAATTTGTTTTGATATGAAATTGCACAGCCCCTTGCAAGTAGTTTAGTTATAACAGATGGTTTTATCTGCAAAACAACATTGAGAAAATTTGATTATGTCATTTATCATTAGAAATATGAGCAATATTTGAAAAAAAGATAGGCTATAAGACACTTATCTCTGAATGTCTTTCATTCTCATGTTGACTGTTACTTATTCCCATTACAACTGATGATGTCTGTATGGAAAAACATAATAACAAATGTTAGAACATATCATATATGGCCAGTGGTATAAAAAATATTTCAGTAGGAGATGCTAAAATGAAACTTATCTCTTCTGTTTAGAATCTGATGTCTGTTATTCAATTGATTATACCTGCAAAAGATTAGAACATCAGTTAGACATCTTTTGTATGCGAAAAACTTAGATAAGAACAGCTCTTAAACACAAGAATGTGAAGAACTTGGATAATACCTTAGTTTTCTTTCTCGCAGTTCAAAACTGAGTAGCACAAGTTGAAAAATCACAAGAAATTTAAACATAACA